CCAGTGCCACTGATTCGTTCTGCTAATGACCTACCTGCTCTCTACTTAATATTTCACATACTTGAGTGAATCTTAACTATCAGGTTAAATAAGAAAACAAAAATTAGATCACAGCCAAAACAGAATAGCATGCACCCTTTATAAATACAAATAAACAATGGGATATGACAGGCTGTACATTTCTAGATAATTATAGGTTGATATTAAAGTATATAAAGGCCCAAGGTCAACTGACTTTAACCTTTCAAGAAATGCAGTGACTGCTATGAAATTCAAAGAGTGGGGTGTTCTACTAGTGATAGGAAATGGACTTTAGACTGGATATAAAAGGGTGGAAAACAACATTACCCAGTTCTCAGGCATTATAAACAGGAATATGTCTTCAGGGCAAGCTAAAAAGAAAGCCATTTATAAATGTGCCTAATTATACTATCTAGAAGAGTATAGTAGAAGTGTACCACTCCATGCCATCTACATGTCATTGAGCAGAGATTATCTTTTTGTTCTGTATTTATATGATACTTAGTGCACTATTTGATCTGTCTAGAACTAAGCTCATTGAAACTTTTCCTTGAATTCACTGGGCAGTGGATGGGAGTTTCACTTTCACCAAACAGTTTTCTCTGGAGTCGTGGCCCTTAATACCAGTGCCCTTTAAAATGACATTTTTAGAAAAATATCAGCATTGACATCTCTTCCCATTTCCTGTCAGGTCATATGATTTTAGGCTGGCTGGAGGCCTGAGGATCTAGAAACTCCAACCCACTGACAAGGGTGAAAACCCTTTCTGATTTGCCTCCTTATCTCCTGGGGAAAAGTAACCAACTAGAGCTGCCTCTCCTTGCCTCAAAATATAGAAGAGGTTTTGAGCATGGGAAGGGTGCTGGAAAAGAAGGAGATAGCACTCTGTAAAAAAGGTGAGGGAAGTGGAGGGAGATGATAGTCTAGAAGCTCCAGATGGTTTTGCTCTCTCCTGTGAAAAATGTGATAACCTGTTCTCTGCTCTTCCTCTTTCTCCTCTACAATAGCAAAACTAGGTAGAGGCAGAAGGATAGAAGGAATTTTTCCCTTCCTCTACCAACCCAGATCTGGGGAAGGGGTGGTGGTAGATGCAGGTGGATCAGAGATGTAACCAGGAGATTGAACTGCTCTGAAAAACTGGAAATTCCATATTATCCAAACAACTGTACCAGAGGCCGGAATTTCCTTACTGAATAAATTTGGGAGAACTGGTAACAGAACTGACACACACTGGGATTGGGGTAGAAGGCATTCAAATATCAAATGACACACTAAATAAGTAGATCTCACAATTTTTGAGGTCAGACAAAGGATTTTTAACTTTGGAGACCATCATACTGAAGAGGACAGCTGCACACCAAGATAAAGAACAGTTTAATAATATGCCCATATGTAACATCGGTAAAGGTTCACAAAAGACACATTTACTTTTTTCCACATGCTGTGCTGAAATATTCACCATTTCTGCTCTGTTCATTTACTTTATCAGTAAAATGTGCTGGCATTTCCTTTTTCCTTTACATTAAATGATGTTATTTATTCAAGATAAACTAAAATATATTCAGGCCTCGAAAACAAAATGCAATACAGACACTCTGGTTACAACTTTTGTTTATGTCTTTCTTTATGGCATCTTTATATCTTTGCACATATGTCATTGTCATAACTCTTGCTTTAGAGCAGCATTTCCACTGACATTTCTAAACATGAGGCTATTTCAAATTGTAGTCAGTTTTGGAGAAAGTCTACATTTTTAATACTTGTTACTTAATAACCAAAAGAATGTCAAGCATAGCTGTCCCAAAGTTTCCTAGTAACATTTAGAGAAATATATATTTTTTCTATTGATTAAATCTGGATCCAAGGTTCTACATGTAAGCCTCCAAACAAAGAAATGTTGGCCCAGGACATTTTTAAGGAAGATGTGACAAGACAGACTGAATAGTTTTTATTTGACAGTGAATCATTAAAAAATGAACCAGATGGTTAAACTTAACAACAGTATTAAAGTGAAATTAGTAAAAGTGTGCCTAGGGCATCATAAAATCTTTTATTTGTTGTTCATCCTCAGTCTTTTCCAATGACTGTGATGGATGATTGCACAGAAGTATCCAAATTAAATTCTGAGTACCTAGCAAATTAATTTACTGTAATATTAATATAAATGTAATTGCTGCTACATTTATTTTTCACAGCGAAAGTACTGCAAGAAAATGTCATCCTTTTCCTTACTTTTATGGTGACGTTACTCATCTCAGTTGCCATGTGGAGTGTATACCATTGAATAACAGTGGGTGCATCTACACATGCACTTTAACATGCATTAGCCTATTTTAATGTAGATTGAAGTGTCGCTAAAAACCATGGACATTCATACATGTGATCCAGGAGTGGGGGAAGTTGCTTTAATGAATTCTAGCATGTTGGCGCACACTCAATTAATCAAGTCTTCTGGAGCATGGCAATTGCTGTACTCTAGCAGCCTCCTCTTGGAACTGCTCTAGTTAAAGTGCCATCCCCTGCACCCCTGGAGAACATGTAAAAGTGCCTTGAGGTACTAGATTTATGCACATTAACTAAAGCACATTAATGCACATGTAGATGTACTGAGTTCTTGGGTTGGGGAGTGTGTGTGTGGGGGGCGGAGGGGAAGGGGATTGTGTTCTTTTTTCAAATGAATTTATACAATCCTGTCCTGAAATAGCTTTCCACTGAGGTAACAATGAGATACAGATATGTTGAGAGCAATGCATTAGATAGAGCATAGGTAAGGTGAAGAACCATTCCAGTGTCCTCTGCCCTGCATGTTTAGTTTATAACTTGCTATTACAGAGTACAGGGGAAGAGTGGGAACTCTTTTAGAAAGTGGGGTTTAGCACCTGTGGAGTCATGCAATGCATGATCTCACTTCCCCTGCCAAGGATGTCATGTAGAGGGTCTCCACAGAGGCAATCATGATAGATATGGATGAAACTAATCACATTACAGCAGAATACCCATAAAGTCCCTAGAGGAACTGCTGCAAGTAACTCTAAATGCATGACCCTGGCACATCAGAATCACATATTTTCCATTATGCTTTTGCATTCCATACATATCAAAGTCTACTCAGGAACTGGACAAATGGGAATAAGAAACCACTGATCACTGAGTGGGATACAGTGCAAAAAAAGGACGCTAACTCTGAAAATATTCTATTACAAAGGAAGCTTTGCAGGAAGCAAATACACTTACACTAAAGTTAGACTTAGAAGACTTATCTTTTGGAGGTGCCTAGTGCCCTTCAGTCCAACTGACTTCACCAGGAGCTGAAAGGTCCTACAGGGAACTGAGCATTTCACACAGTCTAGCTGATAGCGTAGTTCACTGTAGTGTGGACACCTGTTTAAGGACAGATCCTTGGGTGGTACAAATTTTCATTGTTTCATTGAAGCCATTGCAGGAAATCAAGCTATGGCAATTTGCATCCTTGAGGATCTCCCAAATGTAACAATGCTGTGGTGTATCATATTTATTACCTATTTATTATTACTCATTTTATTCTGATCAGCATACCACTATGCATGACATTACAATAAACACAAATATATGACTGCCCAGCTCATGTTTTACTGCATTCCCTGCTCCATTCTTTTCTTCTAACCTAATCTTTGCTCTTTTTGTTGGTTTTTTTTTTTATCTCCTATTTTAAAATTCTTTCATATGGTTAGGGCATCTCTTTTCCTCCTCATATAGGTCACATAAACAGCATATTGCTTCCAGGACATCTTGAAAGAAACAGATTGTTTTTGTCTGGATAAAACTTCTCCCCCAAACAAATGGTCAAGGACAAACGTAGATAACCAAATCTAGAATAACAAATCAGGTTTTCAAATATTCTACTCAGAAGGGAATCATCTACAAGACAGTTTTCCCTTCTAGTAAATTGACTATTTTTCCCTAACATATAAAAATATAAGTTATTACAGAAAAGGAACAAAATCAGAACTAAATAGATTTAAAACTATTTCTACTGAAATGTTAGCAAACTGATGCAAGAATTATTTAGAGACCTATCCCACAAATTCCTATGGTGCTATCAGGTGCTTCAATAAATCTTTCTTTTTATGGTGCTACAAAGGCCAAGCAAACAGATGTCCATACCCCTTGTTACACCACAAATGCCCAAGATTAGGGACCATGACGTAAGCATTATCAATTCGTGCCATTTTATTCTGGCAGACATCTGTTAAGTTTATGATGGGAGAGTGCCGTCAGGTGTATCCCATACATCTGTAGGCATGTTTGACCCCACACTTGATTTCCAATTTTCCAAATCACAACATTTTGAGCAAAAGAGCTTTGAAACTGTTGATGTCTGATGTTTGCTCTTTTATAAGCCAAAATGATGTTTTCTTTTGAAAGTTGAGTAGATTTTCATTAAGAACAGTGTGTGTGTGTGTGTGTGTGTGTGTGTGTGTGTGTGTGTGTGTGTGTGTGTGTGTGTGTGTGAGAGAGAGAGAGAGAGAGAGAGAGACAGAGAGAGAGAGAGGGGGATAAGATTGAAATCTTTTAAATTATAATAATGAAACTTTGAGACTGACTTGAACTGAATTTTTAATTAAACTATTTGGACCACAACTTTTTATCACAATTTAGAACAGGAAAAATTTTCAATGCTTCAAAGTTGAAATGGGAGCATTTTCCCACCCACGTCTACCTTTTGAAAAGTTATTCACTTCCTTGGAAGGTTCACTATCCACTTTATTTTTTAAACAATTCTCTTAAAAAAAAAAAAAAGGAAATTTGGCTGGTTTGAAACTGCTTTATAGGCAGGGGAGTAGAGAGCATACAAAATGAATAATTCAACATAAAAGTCATTTTGAGCATTTTGACTGGGATTAAACAAGAATAACATATGCATCGTGGAGACAAATACAAACTTTAGGTGCTCCAAGTATTTATTTCCTTTTTTATTTTTGTTCCCATTTCACTATCAGCTGCATTCAGACCAAGATAAAGGAGATGGCTCACTTAAGTACATCCTTTCTGGAGATGGAGCTGGAGATCTTTTCATTATCAATGAAAACACTGGAGACATACAGGCTACAAAGAGACTAGACAGGGAAGAAAAGCCTGTTTATATACTTCGGGCCCAGGCAATAAACAGGAAGACTGGAAAACCAGTGGAACCAGAGTCTGAATTCATCATTAAGATCCATGACATCAATGACAATGAGCCAATGTTTACAAAGGATGTTTACAATGCCAGCGTTCCAGAAATGTCAGATGTCGGTAGGTGCCAGTTCAAGAAATATTGACACTGTCTGGTCTGGGGCCTTCTTGGGGAATTGATCCAGGGTTCAATACAGAAAAGTGCTAAGGGCAGATAGCCACTGTTGACTTTGTTTTGTAGAGTCTCAGCACCTTGGAGAGTCTGATCCTGAATATATATACTAGACTTTGAACAAAAGACTTAGTGGTTTTTATCTATACTTGTTTATAGATGAGGACAGAAACAAACTGGAAAAATGAATAGGATAGAAGGGAGCCTGAATCACTCAGAACAGAAAGGCATCACACCTCTGCTTCTACCTGATTCGCAATGCATTGTTAAATTCCTTTCTCATTCACTGATTTTTCTATTCTTATTTAACAAAAGAATGTTCACCAAAATCTGATCAAGTTGGTCAACACCTCTTCATTTGACTTAAATGTGCATTGGATCATGCCCTTAGAATCAATCAGTAAAAGAAAAAAAATAACACACAGATTTCAAAAAAATAATTTAAAATCTTCCGTTTGGTGTCTTGGAGGGCCTTTTCCGAAGAGTTTCATAGATTCAGATTCCTTTGGTTCTGAGGAGGTTCATTTCTGATTTCTGTTAGAAAGAGTTGGGGGGTTGAATTGTATGTATCATGTTTCTAAACAGAGACAATGTCCAGTGAAATAAATCATTAATTCAACAGCATCAGAAAAGAAATTAAAATGAACCTCCATCATTAGGCAAATCAAAGCTCTGGGGTGTATTTTCTCAGCACAATTATGGAACTTGTCATATGGATTAAAGTCATACTCATTAAAGTGAGCCCCCGCCCCTAACATTTTACAATATGACATGGTTGTCAGACATACAGCCCACAGGCTGGATTCAGTCCACACAGTCATTTCCCCTGGCCTGCAGGAGTCCCAGAGACACCAGGAATTCAGGGGCCAGGCTAGTGGGGGTGAGATTTACCACTGAATTCACAGGTTCAGATGGGCACTTGTTTCAGTGGCAGAGGGGGGCAAGCCCCACCATTCACCCTGGCACCCTGCTGGACCAGTGGAGCCAGCTCAGAAGATTCTTTGATGTACAGATCCAGTCCAGCAAAATTTGTTTTGCAACCTGAATTCAGATTTCTAACAACTACAGAGGCTGAAGGTGTTCAGGTCACTGGGCTTTAGTTCATTTCTGTATTTCATGGAAACAGAATTTGACACTTCTATCAATTGGTAGGCTTTATGAGTCCAGACACAGTAGGAGATTGTCTTTCTGTAAAGTATCAACCTGATGTCAATGTAAATTGAGGAATGAGCAAAGCAGCTTGTATAAAATATGAACCTCCATTAATATTTGACCAAAATTTGAATGAAATGTGAACTGAACATTTTGAGTCCAGTTTTAAACTGTAAGCACTTTTATATGTGCTTCGACACATTCTGGTTAGAACCTATTGGAGCAAACTCGATTAATCAAGTCTGCTGGAGTTTTCTAATCGGAACACTCCAGCGTGCTGCGGTGTCTCGTGCATTCAGCATCCCACATTTCAAAATGGTGGTGGGGGCACTTTAACTAAAGTTGGTCGAGCAAGCTTCAGTTAAAGTGCCCCCACTGACATTCTGAAATGCAGGACACTGAATACACAAGACCCTGTGGGTGTTTTAATTAGAGTGGCTCCTGAGAGATGCTCTAATTAAAATGCCCCCACTTCTGGAGCATGTGTATAGGCACCCTGTTTTTTAGTCTTCACTATTCCATATTGCCATGCTCCCAGGTTCCTGCTAGGACTAAAAAGAGAAATGTCAAAGCATCACAACTGAAGGCAGGTTCATCTCCAGCACAGTTTTATAAACCCAAGGTTGTGATAAACACCCAAACTCTGATCCTTCTGAGATTTCACCGGCATTCGCTTAAAAAGCTCATTCTAGACTTCTGATAGATTACCAGTAGAGAAACTATAGCTCTTTGCTTCATGAGAGATGTCATGCTTGGGGGCTGGCTCTTCCTGCTCCCTGTTAAAATATCCAGGGAAGGGCACCTTGAAAGGTCAGGTGCAGTTTTTCCAAATTCTTTAACTAGGGGCACTCAGGGTTTGTACCACAACTCTAGCCCCAAAGCTCTGTAGGACTTTACCACTTGGGCTTTACCACTAGGATTCTACATAGAAACCTGGTCATTTAGTCCTCAGAATTTTCCAGTCACCTATTTCTGAGATTCCCTACAAAGGGTATTTCCAGTTGCACACAAAAGAGGATCTCTGAATGGCCCATATTACAGTATTGCTTTTATTTGTGAATTTACATTGCCATAGCCACACTATGTTTGAATTCAATGGTTTCTATGCAATAGTCAAGCAAACAAGCAACAGGACAGATATACAGTGCAGTGCTGGCCACTGTATACTGACAAAATGCTATAGGGTGTTTTTTTTATCATTTCAGGTACATTTGTTGTGCAAGTCACTGCAACCGACGCTGATGATCCTACTTACGGCAACAGTGCTAAAGTTGTCTACAGCATTCTCCAGGGACAACCATATTTCTCAGTTGAGTCTGAGACAGGTCAGAAGACCTTATCTGTCATTCTTTGACAATGTCTGTAATTTAAAATGACATGCTAAGCCAAGCTAAGACATATTAAACTAAAACTTCAAAGGGATAACATTTTACTCGGTGCAAATCTGACAAACCCAATCTGTAAACATGACACCTACATTATTTTAAATCTTAACTTCAAAGTCTAATAAATATAATTAGAACTAAATGTGAACCAGTTTTCAATTACTTTCAATTAGCATTGGGCACCGAGGATTTGTGGAGGCTTAAATTAGACCAAATATTATGGCTTTTATGGGGAATGGAGAAAGGCTGGGAGGGGGAAAATGTTTGCAGTACTCATAGATCTTTATAATAGCTGAATTAAGATGAAGGATCTTTTTTCTTCTGCTGCTGCTTCTGTTTCTTTAAAATGTGTTGAAATGTGTTACAATTTATTGTTTTGTTCAGCAGCATTACATAATTTTAATTGTAATCTTCTGAAGGATATCTTAATTTAGAATAGCAATAGAAAAGGTCAAATTCTTTAGCCAAGCCCATTCAGAATAAGATTACATTTAGGAACCTATACTTTTCCAGTTGTGTTCCTGGAAGAGTCTCAAGTCAGATACTGTAGCTGATTTTATTTTTCAAAGGGCTTCTTAAGCATGTGATTGACAACTTGGGAATTTGTCTATGTAAAACTTAAGAAGCCTGGCTGATTTTATGAAATAGCTGTAGTATGTAATGTCTTGGCTTTTGTGAAATCTACCATCTTAGGTCAGGGCTTTATTACATATTTCCCAGACCAGGGACAAGAGAAACTGCTTCTTTTTAATTTCTCTGCAGTGGATGGATCTTATAGAGTGGAATTTTTCCCAAGGTAGACCAAATATATCAGACATTTAACAGTACTGAGCCTAACAGATTCAGGTGAAGGTGGAGGAAGAGGTAATGGGAATGTCCTTAATGGTGCAATCTGCTAAAATTAAAGGAAGCCGGTAGGAGGGGAGAAAGAAGACACCACACTTTAGAAAAGAAGACTGACCTGGAGAATTCAGATTTTACACAGGGGACCTGGAATTTTGAAAAACAAAAACCTTTAACCCAAGTTGTATAAAACCTTCCAGAACAGTGAGGAAAAATGAAGCAGGAAATAGCATATAGGTATTTGATTGTTTTGTGCAGATTCATATATTATATGTGCTAGCTAAAGTAAAGAGTGATTGGGTTGCAAGCCCATGTGTGTCTGCTTCTACTAACACATGTCCCTGAAGAAGTGAACCCAAAGCCAAAATGCCTACAAGTTGGAGATCTAGGAAAGATTGCACTTAGTTTCAGGGCCACAGAAATTGACTGTGGGGTCTCAGGTCTCAAAATTGGGTGCATTTTGAAAGTGTGCCTAGTTCTCAAGTCAGAGGTACCCCATCATAGGAAGCCTATGACTAGGTTCACACAGCACTTTGTGAGTGTGTAAATCCTGACAATGCCCAGTGGCTTCTGAGGTGATAGGAGGCTTTAAGCAAAACCTCTTTTGAAGCACAGGGTGCTGGCTACTTCAAGAGACGGGATTCTTTTCTTGGTAAACCAGTAGTTTTCAGACAAAGTGATAATAAAGATGATGAAGCTGGAAACTGAGTTACAACAATCTTTTTTGCAGCGGGAATGTTTGGGGAAGTAGGGGTGGGAATGAGAGGGGCAATACAGCAAAGGATGCCACTGACATTAATGGCAAAACTCCTAGTGTGATATCTTGCTCTACTGTGGACAGTAGGGATTTTGCCACTGATTTCAGTGTTGCCAGGATTTGACCCCTAATGGCTGCAAAGAGTTGAAGATCTGGCCTTAAAAGACCAGATAAAAATGCACACATTTTTCTTCATTATTAATGTAGATTGTTAAATTTCAATGGGAGTTAGACTTCTAACTTGCATTTGAAGCCTTTTCCTGAAAAAAAATTTAGCGAGAATGTTTCAATCAGTATATAAATAGAAAATATATATATATTATACACACACACATACTATGCTTGGGTGCCCACTCCTTTCTTAATTAATATCCCTTCTTCCATGTAATGTTGGTGTACTGCCTTTTAATGATGCCTTGCTGAAGTTAGTTTGTTTTTGCCATGTCTGTCAAAATGAAAAGTTGATGGGATGGGGGGGAGGGCAAAAATTGGAGTACCTTTTAATGAGAGACAAATCTTCTTCCAGTTCAGTGAGAAACTTAAGCAAAAATAAAAGGGATAAACAATGATATAAAAAACAATGCATACAAATAGCTTAAACATCTTTCTTGGGATGCCATTAATATTGTGGCTGTCACACAGGCAGCAGCCTGAGATACAATATGACAAGCCTGTAATTTAATGTGCCATCTTATAAGAGTAAATATTTACACTGGGCAAAGTTTACTCATCACAGAGACTGTTCTTAATTTTTTTAAGTGTTTCTGTCAAAGTCAGTACAGTACAAGTGATGTTTGTTTTCTTTATTCTCATATAACTAGGCATTATCAAAACTGCTTTGCTGAACATGGATCGAGAAAACAGGGAGCAATACCAAGTGGTCATCCAGGCCAAGGACATGGGTGGACAGATGGGAGGATTATCAGGGACCACCACAGTGAACATCACACTGACTGATGTCAATGACAATCCACCTCGCTTCCCACAGAGTATGGAGCATTTCGTTCCTAAGGCTTTACAGGGACATAATCATAAGTTGATGCTTTTCAGTCCAGTTATTACCTCTGCTCTCCAACACTGTGAACCTACTGAGTATCAGGGGTGTAGGTTGTAGCTGTGTTGGTCTAAGGACATAGGCAGACAAGGTTCTTTGGATGAATCTGATATCTTTTATTAGACCAAATTAAATAGTTGGAAAACAATTATTAAGCAAGCTTTTGAGTTCAAAAACCCTTTGTCAAGCTAAGGAAGTTTCTGCAGTTGGTGTGTGCATACCAGACTAGCCTCTGGCTTCTTTACTTTTCACTCCATCCAGAAAGAGCACACACCAACTGCAGAAACTTCCTTAGCCTGACGAAGGGTTTTTGAACCCGAAAGCTTGCTTAATAATTGTTTTCCAACTATTTAAGCTGGTCTAATAAAAGATATCAGATTCACCCAAAGAACCTTGTCTGCCTACTGAGTATCAGGGCTTCCACAGAGAAAGAAGCATGACACTACTATTTAATTCTAGGGAACGGAAAACATTACTTCTTGTAATATTTACATCTATTTCAGAGTAATGAGATGTTCATTAATGTACATCTCTAAATGCTATTCATTAGTACCTCCTATACAACCTTTATTAGTGTATGTCTGTAATTTTTAAAGGGACATTTTTGCTCTGCTTTTATGTCTGTGTTTTCAAATATACTCATTTAAAGAGTTCATATTTAGCCCTGGAGTAATCCTACTGAAATCAATGCTTGTACCAGGGATTCATTTTCCTTACTGGTTTTTCCTGTGTTCATTGCACACACACACACACATTATTTCTGCCTACTTTCCTTCCCCAGCCTAAGGTCAACTAGTAAGTATTTGTGTGAAATTTAAAGAAATCACACAAGACCTCTTAGAAGCAACAGCCCTTTATGCTATTGACTGATCATGACCATAAGATGATTCAAAAGCTATTCATCCTATTTTTTCTTCTTCTCTAACCACTGCTTTTTGTATCAAGGGCAGAAGCAGTGGTTAGAGAAAATAATTCCAGATCCTATCAGACAAAACTGGAAGCTTTGAATATTAAGCCACCAAAACATATTGTTGGAACCATTAAGTCCAACATTCACCCTTAGCTGTAGGCAAGCAGCTCCTTTCTAAATGAATAGGACTTAAGTTGAGATGTAAGAACTTGCCCCACTGATTTAATTACATATCTCTGGGCATTAGTATCTCTTACCGTTAATTTTCATGTAACTAGGCATTATCAAAACTGTTGAAACTCCTGAAGTAGCTTTTTCATGAGGGGCAAAGGATGAAATACAGCACAGTAATCAGAAGCAGTTTGGATGGATTTTGCTTTAATGCCACAAAGTGACATTGGCCATTGGCATGTCTGTCTATTTTGTTCCTCTTTTGACAATCTAGAGGTTTTTTTGCATCCTATCTTAATCTGGCCAAATGGGACCCCAGATGCTGCCCAGAAAGAACCATAAGTTTTTGTCATGTCATAGTGGAAACTTGTCAAGGAATAAATTACTTTTACTTTATTGTTATAAAACTAAGACATAGGACAAGGTTTATTTTTCACTAAAGTCTTGTCAATATAGCAGCTTCTTAAATCTACCGCTCAAAATATTGGTGCTGTCTGTAGGTGGCAAAGAAATTCAGTATTTATATATGGTCTCCAAAATAGCATTATTCTGGTAAAGTAAAGCTGCCTTCTCATTTCTTGTAGGCACATATCAATTCAAAACACCTGAGTCTGCCTTACCTGACTCACCGATTGGTAAGATAAAAGCTAATGATGCTGATGTGGGTGAAAATGCCAAGATTGAATACAGTATTACTGAGGGGGATGGATCAGACATGTTTGGGATCATCACTGACAAAGACACACAGGAAGGAATTATAACTGTCAAAAAGGTACACATTTTAATAAACTTTGGTGGTGTTTATAAGCCTTTACTGGCCTGTAACAAGCCTTATGTGATGTAGAGTCTATACTGGATATTGCATGGATGTCGTTTGCACATGACTTATAAGGAATCTCCTCCACATGCCTTGCACCAAGCCTCTTTTACTCGGTGAGGATTTCACCTCACCTTGTTCCCACATACAGCATATACATTTTGAATGAGGGTTAGAGGGAGGCATATAGTCTGTGGAGAAGGATAGGCTTCAAAATATATAAATAAATCAATTTTACTTCTTTAATATGTTCATAACAATGACGGGAGACATGCCCTTCAGCTGTGGATCCTATCCTTAATGTGGTTATAAAAAGATTGGTTCTGCTTATTTGAAGGCACTGTGTTAACCAATAACCTGATTTGCTGCTCTGCTTTCTGCTCCCTGTCCTGTCTACCACTGTGCTGCCTGTCCCCTTACCAGTCTGCTGGGTGCAACACACAGAGGCTTCTTGGGCCTCTTGTGGCATGCATAGAGCAAGCTGTCCACCCCTACTCCCTCACTAGTATCTCTGTGTCCTGTATAATTTTTTACCTGCTAAAAATTATTTTTTGAACCTTCAGAAGGTGTTAATTATATATGCAAAAGCATCTCCAAGCACACACACAAATACTTGTAGGTTTTATTTATAATGTAATAAACCCATCAGTGTACATTTGCTGTTTTTTTTAAATCACAGTGCCTTATTAGATCACAGTAGGCATCATCTACTAGCTTGCACTTTGGCTGTCAAAAAGGGTTTTAAGAAATCTTGTTTACAGTGGGTTATCAGGCAAGCTCGATAAGGTTACAGATATCAACCTCCATCAGTTCAAGTTTAGTCAACATGAAATAGACACTGTAGATTTTCAAAACATGCACTTTGCTTGTTGATATCAGTAGAACACCCGTCATTATTTGTTCTTTAAGAAATGCCTTCTAGGGTACAATCATGATATCACTCTAATTCTGTTCATGTTTTTTGTCTGCTTCTGACACCAACTTTGCTGTCACTGTTGCTGTGGTGACTACTGCCTGCCTAAGTTGCTCAAAGTATGCTTGTGTGCTCAATCCAAAAAGTTGCTCCTTCTTTCCTTACAAAAGGGCATGAGGATCACTTCATGTAGTCATACTCTATCACAACACAATATTTTAATGGATACCTCCCCCCTAACTTACTTTGGACTCTATGACAATATTTGTTTTCAAGAATGGATATCTAGTACCTGAAAAAATATCTCCTGTAATGACATGATCCTTCAGTCTGGGGCCTAGAGGACTAAGGGCAAATGGGGCAGGAAATAAATATGTTGAGACTATTCCAACTACAGAAAATGGTATGCCTTAACTACACTAATGTGATCAACCATCCAGACTAGGGGTCAGCTCTGTTCTAGACCCAGGGCTCCCTGCCAACCCCAAGCCAGGTCCAGACCTGGGTTGTCCAGGGCAGGAGCTGACAATCACCTGATTGTAGGCCCTAGCCCTAGGAGAGCCCTGGGTCCTGCTGTGCTACATATTCAATTTATGGAGCCATACAAACAAGCCACAAAGATGTTCTGCATATTTTGTGGAATCTTTGTGGCTGGTTTGCCATTTTATCATGCTGTAACTTGGCCACACATGTAGCATTTTTACTATTTATGGTGCACCAAATTATTTATGATTACCACCTAAATCGCACCATAACTGTAATGTGTGCCAGTGGCCTCAGGGACATATATAACCCTTAGGCCTTATCTGGCCCACAGAGCTGCTGGATCCAGCCCACAGAGCTGTGCCTGTGCCTATGTCTGCATTGGGGGGCATGCACATTTGTCTTCTGGATTTGTTTTGGAAATACCTTGACAGTTGGCAAAATCCAGTACACTGCCAGTGAAGCCATTTGCTCATTATAAGCCACATTAATAGATGTCCTCTCTTGTAAATGCAAATTCCCTAGTACAGTCAGGGGCAACTTTTTTGGCAGGCATATCACAGATTAACCCTGCACTCTCCCCGTGTGCCTCTCCAGTCTCCTTTCCCTGCTCAATCTGCTGCTGTAGTTTCTGCTCCCTGCCTAATCTTCTGTTTTGCTGTCTGCTTCCTCCAATCCACTTCTTGCCTGATTTGCTGCTCTGGTTTCTGCTCCCTGTCCTATCTAACACCGTGCTGCCTGTCCCCTTGCCAATCTGCTGGGTGCAACACACAGAGGCTTCTTGGGCTTCTTGTGGCACGCGTAGAGCAAGTTGGCCACCCCTACTCCCTCAACATCAGAAGAATCTTATCTATGCCAATCCTCCCTATCTATGCAGTAGAATATTTATTAGGGGTTCCTATTAGCTCCCAAAGATCCCTCCAACACATCACCAGTTCGTTTGGCATGTCAAGATACTACTTAAATTAGCTTTAAATGGTCAGTCCCCAGAAACTTCTCACTGATTGGTGTCTTGCAACTCATTTACTTTCCAAGGCTTTAGATTTTGAAAAGAAAAGGCTGTATACTCTGAAAGTGGAAGCTACCAATACTCACGTAGAAGCACGATTCCTCTACTTGGGGCCATTCAAGGACTCTGCTACAGTTAGAATTTTGGTGGAAGATGTGGACGAGCCACCGGTGTTCAGCAGACCAGCATATATAATAGAAGTTAAAGAAGATGCTCAGATAAACAGCGTTATAGGAACAGTGTCAGCTCAAGATCCTGATGGTGCCAAGAATCCTGTCAAGTAAGCATACACCATTTCAGCTCATACTCTTATCTTTCTCATGCTTTATTTTTGTCTTTATTCAGGCACCTGCACACAAAAAAACCCCATTGTCTTTAACAATGAAATCATTTTTAGATACATGCATATATGCTTATGTATTGCATAAGTTAAATATATACACAAGAGTGTTTGTGCATGTGTATTATACAAGTTGATTTACATTTCAAATATGTTTGCATTTAGCATTATTTCATTACTCTATAGAAATTAAGTACATTAGCTAGTTCATGGAGAAGCTTTAAAAATACCGGCGTTACATTTCCCCGTTTTAAGATGGAAAAACTGATTTTTTAAAAGATAACTGCTATGTTTACCAACTTAGATATATGTATACACGTACAGACTCTGATCTCATTGGTATTGGTAGAACTCCATTGACTTCAATGGAATTACTCACTGGTGCAAATGAGAGTACAATCCATCTTACAAACTTCATAAATTATGTATGTTACTAGGCACTTATCTATTCTTAAAGGTAATTTGAAGTTCTGAGTAATTAAAGCCGAGTCCCTGTTTTAAATGACTTCACAAGTGATACGCAAGGATATAAACAACCCTGCTGTGTTGTGTAGATCTTTCTAAGAAAAGCCCCATATAGTAAGAGAAAAAACAAAAGAAACAAACAAAAAAAACCTGTTTGATTACTCCAGGTTTTTGGAGCAGCACAGGGGAAAAATTTAGAATAAATGAATCACTTTAATCAGTGCATTACAACAGACCAACAATTAGGAAGAGGAAATGAGAAATATGCTTTGTAGTTACTTGCTGTAGTAATAATTATCAGCAGTATAAAATAAAGTAATTCTTGATTTTATAGAATTTTTGGGTGGGGGCACTGAAAGCTTGCCTAAAATAAGGAGAAATGAGGCTAAAAAAGAGGAAGGTTGAAAAAAACCCGGAGTACATAAAATAAAAGCTTACCTTGAATACTTTCCTCTTCACCAACTATCTTCTACTGAAGTATCTCAAGGTGTTTTAGAGAAAACAAGTGTTAACATCATATCCCACCATATGAAATAGGTAAATATTTTCATTGCTATTTCACTGATACTAAACTCTTCTGGCAGAGACCACACCCTTGTACAGCACAGTGCTATCCTGGTCCATCAACTAGATCTCCTAAGTGTTATTACAATATAAATAACAAAAACTGTAATAGAAGTAGAGTAAAATAATAATCTAGTGTCAGATTACAATAATCTAATGTCAAGATTTATTTTAACTATGAAAATTGTTTTCTGCTATAGACCATATACTACAAATTCTTCTAAGAACAAGATGACAAAGCAAAAACAGAAAACAAACACTCTACAAAAAAATTATCTTTCTTCAGTTAACTGTATGATGAAGGAATGGTATTGAATAGTTCTTGTGTCCTGTATCACACTAATTGACATGCTGGCATAGCTAATCGGTATTTTTTATAAAGATTTGATTGGATTTTGTATTTTGATCAAAGCCATGTAAACCAACTCATGATTTCACCCTTACATAACAGATGGAACACAACCCATACTAAGGAAATAATCTCATACCAGTAGAGAATCCAATCCTGGTAATATTATATTCAAATATGACAATAAGTGGTAATTTTAAAGGGAAACGCCTTAAAATTACAGAGTGGTCGACAGTGGTTAATATGATTTAGCAGGGAAAGGAATAAGAGGGAAGAATGGAAGCCAAATGAGGAACCTATGAGATGTAGGTCTCCAACAAAATGGATTCTTAAATGGGCTTTTATGGTGCTTCTCTCTTGGGCATCTCCCAGCATTAGGAGGACAGGTAGAGGCTACATCTTCTTGACAGGGTGATTTTTTTCCATTACACTTGTAAATGCTAGATCTGATTTTCACTCTGAGCTTGGGGAATTATGCAATTAGACCGTATATGTATGACTTGTCACTTACTGTATAAGTATGACATGACATTCACTTGTCAATTTTCCTTGACAGCAAGAGATAAAATCTTTAGACACTTAATGGTAGTATGAAAACTTTCCATTTTTCTTCTCTTGAGTGGGGATTTTTCTTTTTAAATAACCTGAGCCCTAACTCTGGTAGATGGAAGTCACTTTGATCTTCCGTTAAAGAATCCTTTACAATATCATTATGAAAATGCATTATGAACAATTCACAAATATGTCCCTTCCTGACCCACAAATCTCCTTGACTTGTGGTTGCATTAACCAGCAGGCTGCTGAATATTGCAATGCATGAAAGGAGAAGGTTAAGACGTGGACTTTGCTGAAATATCTGCTATAGCCATGAGTGAATTGATCACCAGTTACATATCAGTGGGGTGCATTTCTTCAGTCCAGACCTTACAGAAAAGGTTTATTAACTGTAAAATAGCAGTAAGAAAGGGTACATTATACAGTTGATAGGTGTATAGATAAATATAAACAAACGGCTCACATATAGTGATGAATTGTTATCCAATTGTGATAGTGAAAATCTTGTGATAGTGAAAATCTTGTGAAATGCTTGCATTTAATATAAACAGAGGAAAAATTATGAATCTCTGAATCTTTTCCCAAATTAAAAAAAAAGAAAAATTATGCTTCTTTTGGGAATATTATATTGTGTATTAGATCCTTTTGAACTCTCTAGTTGGCTTGTTTTTGCTGTGTTAATTCCTCAAAGGCATAATGTAGTTCATCATTCATTGGAACTACCTCCCTGCTGTGATTTGATTTATCTAAAGAATCCCAAAAGAAAATTATCTTCAAGCAAATGTAAGACTTAATTTTGTTTGTGTATTTTACTGAAGACATACTTGCATGTATTAACTTATCTTTCTTATATTCTGTGCAGAAAGATATATATGTATATTATTAACTTCCTAGTTTCTCAATTTCACAGGGTTGGAAAGGGATAAAGTCCAGAAAACTGACATATATGCACCAGTAATTTCATTAAAGAAATGTAAAAACGAGTTTGATGTTGTCTGCTTAATTCTTGGTAGACTGTCCATTAAGTCAGAATCACCATCAGTTCAACATAATTAGCAGGTCTTGATCAAAAGAGACCTGGGATTATATAAATGGAGAGACAGAAATTACAATCTATTTTATTAAAATTATTCTTCTAGGCCAGGGTTAATAATATAATTAGAATATGCTTTTAACTGTACTGACCTTGTTTGTATTTTCTCTGGAATATGAAAAAACAAAATTAATACTGCATCAAGATTCTGTTCACTTGTATTGCTTTATTGAGCTTAACTTTGTGCTGTACAGATGACCTAATGTTTACAGAGACACATGACAACTTGCATATATAATAAATATTTGCAAATAATAAATATTTTTAACAAGGAAACTTCAATGTTATAGCTGTGATAAGGTTAAAAAAAGCTCAAGGGAAGGGTGATTCATCACATGCAGAACTAAATTGTGAGACTCTTCTAGAGTAAATGACCATGGCACCTCAAGGCACTATCTCCCCAATTCAACAACCCCTAATTTTAACCATAAGCAATTGCATGATAAAAAATATATATATAATAATGGGCTATTAAAGATAGACACATACCTAAATAGCTTGCTGAATAAAGGCATAAGTGTTACTAGAGCTGACTGGAAAATAGAAATTCAATTTCATTGAAGAGGCTGATATTCCAAATTTGGCTTTGTTCCAACCAGGAATGAAAAACTAAGCTTGCCACAGATTAGAAATTCCAAAACATTTCACAGAAAAGACTTAGCATGTTCCCAAGTGTAGGTCAAAGGGTTTTCATAAAACATTTGAAGTGTGACAATATTCCATTTTTTTGATGGAAAACTGCTAAGTGGAAACATTTGGAGCAATTCTACAACTATGTTGTAGAATTCTACAACTACTACACACTGTCCTGCATGGAGCTAGGGAACACAGTGGCACTGCCAAAAACAAGTACTGTACTTTTATGGTGTACAAGTCTATGAGTTATAAGTCAACACCATATTTCCGCTCAAAAAAATTAGGATTTTCATAGATCCTGTGTATAAGTCGACCCTGTCTTGCTAGGGCAGGGGGTGTGGAAGGAAGGTGGCTGGGTACTGTGACAGCAGGAGAAGGTGGCAGGAAAGGTGTGTGAGGTGCTGAAGCCCAGACAAGCATGTGTGAGAGTTGGATAGGGTGCCTCCAAGCTCAGGCAACACCTGCCCCCTGGCAGCCTGCCGAACCAGGTCCGGTGGGTATTGCCACCATGGGAGAAAGGACTGGCCTCTCCTGCAGCTCATGGGGTGCACAGTCCACTGAAAGCTCATCTTCTGGCCACAGGACAGGCAAGCTGGCTCTGCCAAAAGCATGATTGGGCCCCTCACCGCTTCTGCCTTCATCCGGCCCCTGCGGCCCACATGATGCCTGGCACTACCTGGGAAGTTGCCACCTCGCTCCATGGCCAACACGGGGTGCTGGGCTTTCAGCACCTCATGTGCTATCCCTGCTGCCTTCTCCTACCACTCCTTCCCCCCGAACTGCCCATGGGGCAACACAGCCCCTTCCCAGGCAGTGCCAGGTGTTCTGTGGGCTGCAGGAGCCTGCTGAAGGTATAAGTGGTGAGGGCCCAATCCTGCTTTTGGCAGAGCCTGTCTGCCTTTCTTGTGGCTGGGGAGTGAGCTGCTGGCAGGCCAGGCAGCCCCTGAGCTGCCGGGGGGAAACCTTCCCTCTCCAGTGGCAGCGCCCCCCAGGCCTTGTGCTGCCTGAGGCCCCAGGGCCCCGACCCAACTTCCCCAGAGCCCTCCAACACAACACCTCCCCATGTGGCAGGATGCCAACACAGGGTCCGGCTGAAGTATAGATACAGTGTATAAGTTGTGGTGGAAATGTAAGGGTACATTTTTTGGGTTCAACCCTCAACTTACACACCATGAAATATGGTATGCTTATGCCATTAACTTGCTCCTATGACTGAAGAGACATTTCTGTGATTGCTCAGATAACAGTAACCATATAATGGAGTATCAAATCAGCCACCAGGGAACAAGGGGAAAGAGCGGGTATGCTTTAGTTTACTTACAGGTTGTTTTTACCTTATTCTGGCCTGTACATTTAAATACCTGTTTCACCTTTTTTTAAGAATTGGAATGTAATGATCACTGCATGGTTTTTGGCTTGGACTCAAAAGATAAGGCAAGCTAAAAATCAGATGTTTATTAAAGAGCAGATCAAGAGATATCTTGATCTTTATCTTTTTTCATGATAAAAAATTACCAAATAGTAAAGCATACACAAGTACATACGAGTGTCGGACTATTTTTGGCTTTTCAGACTCATAGTATAAGCCATGAGGCAACATCTTTTCCCCTCAGACTCACATGGTTGAACTGGACTCTTTCATTCTGCTCTTTCTTTGTGTTTGGATTTTCTGCTGAGATAAATGAGAAGTTCACACATCAGCTGGACTGGCACCTCGAACATGCCTTGGGTAATGGACAGCAAGCACCTACTTAAGCTACTTTAGGAATAGAGCAGAAATTAAATCAAGTCAGTTCCTCCTTTTACCTTTGCTCTCTCAGAGTAGTAATCTTCACAGTCATTTTTCTGGTGCAGTTTTCTTTCCTCAGCATGTGGGCTCAACCAAGCGCTGCTTTTTCCTCTCCTTACCAATTCTCCAGCATAGGAATGCAGGAGTGACTGCTTCCTCCACATTGTTATGACCTGCAAGGAAATCACAGAGGAGAGTAAGCAAAACCTTATGTATGCTCCAGACATGCAGATTAGCTCACAATTAAACCCATAGCAAGAATCTAACTCTTCTCTCTCAATATGGGAAGAGTATTTAAACCCTATCTTTATTATGTGGCAATTTCATTTTAGCAATATATGGAGTTAAGTAACCACATTTGAATCTTGTTATCAAAACTCCTTCCAAGAATTAGAGATATTTGGCTTTAAAGTTCAGATTTAGCTCAGCATAACAGAGAGAGAGAGAGAGGTCAGATAAGAAATAAAATACATATTTAGATTCTGATGTTCCTCAAACCTTATTAGTGTTCAGATCTATCTCTAGATATTATGAAGCAGAGAACAAGTTAAATTACACTTTAATATGCTAGAACACACTTTTAGATAGTATTAGCCATGGAGGGATAAATCAGCTATACTGATCTCAGTTTTGTGCTTTTTTTTTTTTATTTTGCTTTTCTAAAACCCAATACCATTGGGGTGAAAGAAAAATTGCACCTGAGCTGCCAAATTTTGTATCAAAACAGATTGGGCAGAGCTGAGATATCAAACCATGAGAAGAGGGATTTGTAATGGGAAACTCAACTCAGCCTTAAAATAAATGTCATATCTTTCAAGATGCAGACTCCACATTTTTCACTAAAAGGCAAATCTTTGATGCTTCTCAAAAGTATGTAAATTATGCAGCAATTCATTTATTCAGTAACAGCGCCCCACCTTCTAAATCAAACCCTCCAATATGTCATTACTCAACAGCGCAGAACAGAGTCCTTTGTAGGAATATATCAAGATGCCAAAGTCCGTACTAAAAATTAGGCAACTGACTTACTTGCTGTATGATGTTTAGTCTTAGGTAATTGTTTAAAAACAGAGATTAAAATGAAAACTTTTTTCTAAACACTCTCTCTGTATTTTCAGGTATTCTGTAGATCGGCATACTGATATGGACAGAGTATTCAACATCAATTCTGGAAACGGTTCAATATTTACTTCAAAACCCCTTGACCGGGAAACAGTGCTGTGGCACAACATTACAATAATAGCAGCAGAGATCAGTAAGTCAAACCTAAATACCATCACTGTCCCTGATGTAATGAATTTAGCCTCCTAGCTGAGAGTGTGTAAAGGATGGCTGGTAAGATGTCAGGCTATATGGATGGACCTGCTCAATACTAATCAAGAAGGGGAAACACTGAAAAAGATGCTCTGTGTTTTTCTTTTTTCTAGGCTCACAATTTATGAAGAGATTATTTTCATATCTGAACAGGAAGAAACTTGACACTATTGTGTTTCCAAATCAATCAGACAGGAAAAAATGCTCTTAGCTGTTTAATTAGGACACGATATGCTGACTTAAAATGTTGTATACAGCACACAAGTCACCAATGGCTAAATCCAACCGTATTGTGCAGCTTGGGAATTTTCAAGTAAAGTGAGGTAGAGTTAGGTACCCAAATTAAATTAAAATTTAGTGGGAATTAGGTATCTAACTCCCTTAATCTCCTTTGAAATGCCCAGCCATGGCTAATAAAACATTGCATTTCTTCCTAATTTACAAGCATACTTAGAAGTCCGCCTGGTGATGATACTAGTTGTTTTAGGAGCAAGATATCCCAGAAGATATACAAGGTTTATGTTAGTTAGGCACCATCAACAAAAAATCCCCTCTAATTACATATTAACTACAACAGAGACCTCTCTCATCTTCCTCTTGAGGCATGCTGAAAACACTGGCATGTGGTGTAAGTGGGTGCAGTTCTAATAATTTCTTTGGCCTTGCCTCCTCCTATATGGGGTTGGATATGATTTTGTGGCATAGTAAAATGGATATATTAGGGTAATTTGTTATAAAAATGTTCAATAGTTTAGATGCTGGTAGAGAGTCTCAGGGCACTCCTTTTTAAAAACTTGGCATGAGAGAATTCTAGGTCCTATTTTCTCATAGGTATGTGGAAGGTATGTGGATATAGAGCAGGTCATTAAACTCTTAAGATATGGAAGAAGATAATGAATTCTCCACTCTCTCTCTCCTTTATTCTGTAGCAGGCCTCTTTTAAAATGAAAATTACCTGATATAACACAGCTTGATTATCGTAGTGGGATAGGATACTAAAGGATAGTCATCAGCTGAAATTTACATAAAACAGTGCTTACAAAAATCTTGCAGCATACAAAATACTTTTGCCAGTTGGGCCCCCTATTCATATTCCTTTTGAATCTTCTGAAGCTCTCCCACGATGGTCTGATGTGGCCGAGTTGTTTGTTGTAGACTCAAATACTCTGCATAAGAAAGAACTTAAAAAAACCCAATCAAACTAAAAAGCATTTTGAAAAAGTGGGAAATATACCTTTTGTAAAAATGTAGGCCCTGTAGGAACTGAATTACTACAGAGTACCAAAATTCTTAGAGTAGCTCAATAGCAATTTATCCCCAACTAAAGTAAATTCAAAATTAAAAAAAGCCTTTGTCTAGACTGAGTTTCCAAGCTGGTAAGTTTACTTCATCATCCGCCTAAAGCAAATTTATCCTTTGAACTAAATTTTTCCAGTCAAAAGCAAGGCTCTGCCCAGCATAGGATCCATCTTTGCTAGGCTAAATTTTGTATGCTAGCAGCAAGCTTCTTCACAAGTCACACTTCCAGGCTGGATGGTATCATTGTCCCAGACTAATTTCTGTCATAAGATGACTCATATTTTTTTCTGGCCCAAACTAGGCTAAACTAAACTAAATGAAAGCCTATCTCTGACCCCCCTCTCCCTTCTACACAAGCTCGAGCAAATCAGCAATTGCTCTCAATGCTGAACCACTCCATTAAATTTTATATGCATATCATTTTCCTACACTAAAGAAAATATTGAATATTAAATATGAAAGCACATACCACTGAAGTGTACTGCCTTTAACAATAATAACCATAAAACAGAAAGCTTGTAAATAAAAGCATATTACAATGGTGAATATTGTCATCCACTGGAAACAAAATGGAGAAACAGAATAATTTTGACAAATATTATACAAAATAAGCACTAAGGTTATGTCTACAGTACCTCCAGCCATTCATGAGAGCACTGTAGTGAAGCACAGCATGCCTACTCCATGCATGCTAATATAATGTAACTATTGTTTGACATTCACACAGAGCACACTCAATATCACTTTCTGGTCCTCAATCTCAGGCTTGTCTACTGGCTCATGCTGGGTGCTACTCTAACAACAGATACATTTCATTTTTTCAACATACGGTACAGGGTAGAGAGCGAGTGAGTGGCAGCACATGATTCATAATGGTGTACTAAGTGTTGCTGGAAACAATATAGGCATGTCCAGACTTGGGGCGCTTCCATTTTTCCTTGTTTTTCTTGAGTTGCTTGGTTTCAGCCTGTTTTTCAAAGCACACCACATACACATCTCCAAGTGAAGTCGGTAGCAGCTTCAGGCTCAGGCTCTTGGCATCTCAATTAATACTCTAAATATCTAAGTTTTTGAAACATAAGACATTAGTAATTTATCCGGAGTCACAGAAAAAGGCTACACACACAGTCAGATAATCTGGGAGAATTCTTCTAAGTTTCTTCCCCTGGTAGAAAAACTTACCCAGCGCTGTATGTACAGCCATTCAAATGCTGAGGCCCTTAAAAGCAGAGAGGCTGCAGTACTGACACTGTAAAACAACGTGGAGAGCCTTGTGCACAAAATCTCAACTTGCTCTGAAGGTTTCCTTAGTGTGCCTGGTGACAGATGTCTTCAGTGCATAGGGCAGCAGATTGGCTGCCCCAGACTGCTCATGATCAGCCTGTGTTTCCTGCAGTACAATATAGAGATTGTGAAGGGGGCATGATTTGTCCCTGAGGGGAGCAACACATTGTCTCCCTGGGAGTGAGGGGTGAGGAGAGGGGAAGCTGGAGGACTATGTTCTCTCCTGAGAGAAGCCACATGTACAGACATTCAGTCTCCCAGAAGAAATTCTCCCAGGAGTGTTTTAATTCTGCTTGTCCCCAAGTTGTTTTTCTCCTGGGCTAAGTACAGACAGTCAAAAAACCCCGGACTGTATTGATTCAATCTTCACAGGTTTAGTTTAAGCTGCACAGATAGAACCAGTAAGCAAGGGAACAAACATTCACTTTTTGATTCTGGAAATGTAGCCCTATGCCTGCAGTGGATCAGGCCAGAAACTGGGAGGAAGTGGGTGGGGGGGGGCACTCTAGAGCACACCTCCCTGTGCGGCTGCAGCAGCCAGCTTGGGCCACAGCTAGCCCAAGTGGATTCATGGGGGAGGAGAATCCTGGGGTGCTGGGGGACTATGATTTCTGGAGGGTATCTGGGACAAAAATTCAATAAACTGATTTAACCTAAATCAGTTAAGTCTGATACAACATCTATCCAGGTTTATCTTAAACTGTTTTGGCCATATCGAAAGCAGTTTATGTACACTGAACTTTTGTTGTGTTACAGATTTGAACCAGTTTCCAATCACTAATACTAGTTTATGTAATTTCTGTCCCAAGCCCTGGAGTGGCTATTTTTACACTGGGAAAAAAGTCTGAATATCTATATGCTTGTGGTTTCACCTGGGACAGCAGTGACTCTACCAAAAGAACCTGTAGAATTGCAAATAGAACCCACACCTTCTAATTTACAGATGATCATGCTACCGTCTTAATGGAACTCTGAAGTGCTTTAAATCAAACAAACTCTCTACCCTTGAATTAAAAAGGGCAGGCTGGATTTTGCACTTCAGAAAGAATTTCAAGGCCATGATCAGAAGAAATTTTGGATTTCCATCTGTGACTTGACAGAAACCACATGCGTAACTAAGGAGGGTTGTTTACAGGATGAGGGAGCTGTCTGCTTCTTGCTGGAGAGCCCAATAACAGTTAAGTGACAGCAGGGAGAAATTAGTCAACTCCTATTCATTAATGGAAATGGTTTTGAGGGAGAAAAGAAAGAGCAATAAGGCTTGAAGTCTGCATAAATATATTGGAGCCTACATTTCCTGCTAGATAGATCCTTAAAAAAGATGTGTGTTTGTGACTGCAAATGATATATTTTGATGAAAATTCTCCTATTTACTATACTGATATTTTAGAAGTTTTGGAATCACAGTAAGTTAAACAAAAAACAAACAAACCCCAAAACTTGTGTTTGTACAAAGAAGCATGCAATATGAGTAGTAACTGCACATTTAAGTTTGACTCTTGGATATTGCCAATTGCACAGATATGACATTTGTATCTATATTCTTGTGTGGACTTTTGTCTGTCCTAGTCTATACTATACATACATTCAGAATAATTAAGTATGGTAAGTTAAAATAAAATCCCAACTCTAGAAAAACTATTCCAGTGAATGATTTTAAATAAATAAAAGCCTCAACAGTTGTTATCTTTTATCCACTACTATTATTAGAATAATTTGGCCTTTGAATATAATTTATGATTTGTTAATAATCAATAAAAAATAGTAACATGGAGGGTAATTCAAACCTATTAAAACCAATTTTGAAACTGGAAAGAAACCAATAAAAGAATTGTCAGCCTGTAGGTTGTGATGTTGTTTTCACTCAAAGTTGTGTTTTGGGACTATTTTTGGTTTCATTTTTAAATTATATACATCAAAAGAATATGAAGTCTGTCTTTTTTCAGTTTAGAAGTCAACTCAAAACCACAATAATTATCCTAATTGCTTTTACATACTTTTAAGCAGTAAACTGAATTTCATAAGTAGTAGAAACTCAAAACATTTTCAAGTAAACTTTAGTCTATCCTTTTTTTTTTGCTACTTCATAGAACTCCTTTGGGAGAAGTAACTTATTACATAGGGCTTATGTTCTTTCGATGATGCATTTTAGTGTCAGCTCTAGAGCAGCAGCAACCAAAGATCAATCTACAAAAGGTCAGAAAGCTTCTCTAATAACAGCAACAGATAATAACTTTTTATGCTCAAAAGTGCTTTACCAATTTGGGTTCACTTTTAGTCATCCTTACTCATACAAGTAGTCCACACACAGGACCTGAATAAATTTACTTAGATGCATAAGTCTGCATAAGATCAACCTCATAATTAGTCTCATTTAAGTCAATAGAGCATCTTGCAGAAGTACAGTATATTTTTTATCTTTCAGTAAAGAGTTGAAGGACTTAGCCCTTAAATCTATCCTTTTCTTTCCCAAAACTAAGTCAGGAAGTGTATTATTTTTATCCCTTTTTTTTATCATTACAGACAACCCAAAGCAAAGCAGCCGTGTCCCTGTGTTCATTAAGGTTTTGGATGTAAATGACAATGCCCCAGAGTTTGCTATGTTTTACGAGACCTTCGTCTGTGAAAATGCAAAGGCAGAACAGGTGCGTTGATTGTTTGCACTCCATAATAGGAAAAATTAAAAATGGATTCAGTTTAAGCATTATTCTTGCACCACTTCATCAGGAAGCATACTTCGTGCTGTAACGAGCTGTCAGTGTCACAAAATTAAATTAAACAGTGACTGCGTCGTATCTGATTATAGTTAGCATTCTTGTAGCTAATGCAATGCTGTGTTTTACATAGTTAAATGTAATTTCTTTTTGTCCTCTGTCTTGTTATTCCTGATTCACTTCCCTGTCTCTTCCCTTGAGTATGGGATTTTGTATCTGTATGCCACAGCATTTCCTTCATCCCTTCCTAAGAGCACTTAAAGGTCATGGTAGCCCCATGCTGTAGTCCTTCAAGTCCTGTTATCTGATGGTTCAAAGCAGCAGCTATTCTAGGGGATTCTGCCACAGATTTCCTATTAAATGGAATTTGTGTCGATGAATACTCAACTCATCTTTGACTATCTCACCCTTCACTTCTGCAGCTGGTTGTTATTAGTTTTCCACCCACTTGTGATATAAATGTCATCTGTCCAAAGTGTGACCCCTTGGATTTCACAGGATTTTCAAGATAACACTTTCACATCTTCATTCCATTAGAAGACTGAAGGACTAATATAATTACATATTTTTTAGTCACTCTGAACAGTACACAAAGCCCACTTTTGATTTAAAGGTACTCTGGCAGCATCCTGAATCTTAAAGTGGAAGAAAAAATAATTTTTTGTCCTAAATAAGTAAGAGATCCTTTAGACTGCTAGAGTAGATGGCCTTGGTGGAAATAAGAATAAGGCCTATAGTTTTCTGTTGTTAGATAATTTTGTTGTTATTGTTTTAGCTGATACAGACCCTAAGTGCTGTTGATAAGGACGACTCATTTGGTGGACACCAGTTTTCATTCTCCCTGGCTCCTGAAGCAGCCAGTAGTTCAAACTTCACGCTACAGGACAACAGAGGTGAATTCCTAGGAAGGTTTTAGTTTATTCTCCGTTTTCAGCTTTTGAACTAGTAGTCCTTTAACACTCCATTTGCATTTTCAGACAACACAGCAGGGATCTTCACCCGAAAAAACAGATATAGCCGACATGAAATGAGTATGTACCTCCTGCCTGTGGTAATATCAGACAATGATTACCCTATCCAGAGCAGCACAGAAACAGTGACTATCCGAGTGTGTGCCTGTGACCATCGGGGGAAGATGCTGTCATGTAATGCAGAAGCATTAATCCATCCCACTGGCCTTAGCACAGGAGCTTTGATTGCCATTCTCCTCTGCATCATTATATTACTAGGTAAGTGACCTAGAGGTATTTCTTTTATGAGAAGAGAGACTGGAGAAAGGATAAGCATTACATGCCAAAGACCCTTTGGAGATTTATTTCTTTCATTGTTATGTAACGGAGAAATAATCTACATTTGTTTTTCTTCCAACAAAGTGTCTGAATAATGTAAGACAGGCTTCTTTGTGTAAATCTCATATCTTTTATTAGACCAACTAAATAGTTGGAAAAAAATTCTTAAGAAGCTTTTGGGTTAAAAAAATGTTTGTCAGGCTGAGGAAGCATCCACAGTTGGTTTGTGTTATTCCTGGATGGAATTAACAGTAAAGAAGCCAGAGGCTGGTATGCATGCAAGAAAGGCAGTCAGTGAAGATGTAAATTGAGGAGTCAGTGGGTGAGAGACAGGCTGGGCGGGGTTGGAGAGGTAGAAGGGGGATGAATGTAGGAGGTAAATAGTGGAGAGGTACCTGGGGACTCAGATGTCAGGCAGGTTATAATGTGTCATAAATCCAATGTTTATATTTAGTCCATGATTTTGTTTTATTCAGGAGGTTGATGAAGTCAAATTCATGGGCTTATATGTGGAAAGTGTTTTGTAAATTCCCTTTGAGGGTTAGAACTGAGAGATTGGAGAGAGAGTGGTTTTCCTGTGAGAAACTTGCCCCTACCCATAATTGGATATTCCTGTCTTTAATAGATTTCCCGTATGCATTCATTCCGGTGCGTAGTTGTTGTTTGGTCTCTCCTACGTATTTTCCATCAGGGCATTTGGTGCATTGGATATTACATTTCTGGAGGTGCACGTGTAAGATCCAGGAATTCTGATGGCTCTGTTGTGGGGTGTAGTAATTTTGGGGGTGGTGGAGATGTGTTGGCAGGTTTTGCATTTCATGTCATGGCATGGTCTGGATCCATTCATTGTGTTTTGGGCCATAGGAAGTTTGCTTCTGGTGATGAGGTTAGCGAGGTTTGGTGCTTGTTTGAAGGCTAGGATGGGTGGTTCTGGAAAGATCTCTTTAAGAATTGGGTCTCCTTCTAGTATGGGTTGCAATTGTTTGAGGATTTTCTGTATAAGTTCGAGGAAGGGGTGATATGTCATAACCAGCAGTGTGCACTTCTTGGAGGTTTTCCTTCTGTACCGCAGCAATTCTTCACGTGGTATCTAGGTGGCTCTTTCAAACGTGCAATCTATCTGTCTGGAGGAGAGTCCTTGCTGAGTGAAAGCCTTTTTAAGATTTGTGAGATGGCAATCCCGGGTGTTCTCCTCAATGCAAATTCAGTGGTCTTTGAGGATCTGGCTGTATATCACAGCATTCTTGGTGTGTTTAGGGTGATTGCTGCATCTGTGCAGATATGTATGTTGGTCTGTGCATTTCTTGTATAACACAGTCTATATTTTACCATTCTGGATGGTAAAATACAGACCACATTATACAAGAAGGGAATTTACAAAACACTTTTCACAAATGAGCCTATGAACTTCACTTCATCAACCTCCTGGATACAAAAAACCATGGACTAAATATAGACATTGAATTTATGACACATTGTAACCTGCCTGACATCTGAGTCCCCAGGTACCTCTCCACTATTTACCTCCTACATTCATCCCCCTTCCGCCCCTCCAACCCCCCCAGCCTCTCTCTCACCCGCTGACTCCTCAATTTACATCTTCACTGACTGCCTTTCTTGCCTGCATACCAGCCTCTGGCTTCTTTACTGTTAATTCCATCCAGGAAGAGCACACACCAGCTGCAGATGCTTCCTCAGCCTGATGAAGGGTTTTGAAACCCAAAGGCTTGCTAAGAAAAAAAAAATTCAACTATTTAGTTGGTCTAATAAAAGGTATCAGATTTATCCAAAGAATTTTGTCTGCCTATGTCCTTAGACTAACACCGCTACAACCTATACCCCTGAATAATGTAAAACACTTCCTAATCAGTCACCCCTCCCTAACAATGGGGGTATCCATTTACATCCATTTCACACAGATGTAAATGACCATACCAGGTGCAAGGTATCTGCATTAGCATTGGTGTTATTTTGGCATATGAGGAGGACTGAAATAGATACAACACCTCCTTCTGTGCTGAAAGAGCATACTGAGTTGGGCCAAATAGTACGCCTTTCAAAAGGATGTGGCTTGCTCTCCTTCCAGCATCAGTAAATACAAAGGGTGGGAATCCCTAGCTAGTCTTAGGGATATGTTGCAGTCAGATCTAGGCAGTTTTTTTATTAAAAAGGGTAATGGTCTGCACAGATATGCACTGCCTGTATTCAGGGCAAATTCCAAAAATGACAGGGAAGCTTGCAATTCACATGGAATTGCAGTCAGTATTTAAAGCTTGTTGTCTTTGTCTTTAAGGGTTGAAGCCACTTACCACCACCACACTTATCACAAAAAAGTCCAGTGCTGCAAACCATTTTGCATGAGTTCAGTACAGCTGTGCTCATTAATATCAATCTGACATTAAACGATTTCCTGTTTAGTGTCAATTGGAAATAACTGATTCCCTTTTCTAAGTAGCACTTTATGTCAGTTATTGCTCATGTCGCTATGCAATGTAAGCAGATTTTCAATTAACAATACTCTATAATTTTCTGATTTCAGTGTTTAGTGGTAGGAAATAGTGCCCAAATTTAGAATCTGAGAAGGTCCAGATGGCTTTTTGGAAACTCACAGGTAGTGTTAAAAGTTGATGTAAATATAAGAAGACTGTAGTTTGAGTTTAACACAGCATTTTATATTTTTAATTGAAATCAAAGCCCTTTGAATAAAACACACTTGATGTTAGCTGTTATTCATGAAAGTACCATTTTAGCATTTATTTTTATATGAACATTTTTGTTAACAGGACTATCCCGTATCAGTTCCATGGACAGTCCACATCAAGACCATATGTTCTCTGTGCTCAGATAACTGTATTGGCTCTTACATCTCAGGAACATGTTCAAAACTGGCTTCTGTGTTTTCAAATACTCTCGGGTTTCCTCCACAATGATCTGCATCTTTCCTTAAACACCAGCCTCCCCTTCTATAGATTCTGACAGTTCTCCCTAGGATAGGAACTTCCTTTATTCCATGCTTGTACAATAAGCACAGAAAATGTCTAGTTGGGTTAAAATCTTTAGGGAGATACTAGAAAATGAATAATTCATCATCATCAAGACTGACCCTCCTATTTGTCTTCACTTCATTTACCAAGCCATCACATCTCAGATAACCTCTGAAGACGGTTTCCTGACTTTTATCAATTAAAATAGAAGGACACTGCAAGAATAGGAACTTTATGTAAAGCTATATGTTTTAGGCACATAAACTTGTCACTGGCTTTAATGGGTACTTTGCATGCACAGGAGCAGACTGCAACAGCCATCCAGCTCTCCATCTATGTAGAATCTGGAAGTTGGCTGCCATGAGAGATTTAAAAAAAAAAAAAAAAGCTTTGAAATGCTAGAATATACAAAAGGCATCCCATTTAAACTCAAGTAATATTTGTAGGGTCAGGCCTGGAAGGGCATATTTGGGTGAAAAAAACAAAATAGAATCGGTGTTACTTGTATTTAACAAGTTATTATGAAGGTAGTCACAGAAATCATCGTACATATTTTTTTCCTGTACGCTGTGTAGTACAAGGGAGTCCTGATCTATGACTGGGATTTACAGGGAGTACTGCAGCATAAATAATTACAGTACAGCACCACATTGTTGTTGTTAATGCCATTCAGTGGTAAATAGTCATTTATCATTTTAAGAAAAAAGATAAGTGGAATCCAGATAAGAAACCAAAGGCAATGGTGTTTTACTTATTAGCTAGCCTAGACCCTGATCTAAAAATCAGTTCTATGAGCATAAACCCTTCTACCCATCTGGAGCTCGTGTCCTTAGTGAAGCTGTACATGGGTGCATGTTTAATGAAGTGCTTTTGGCAGAATCTTGGCTATAAATACAACACCTTCAACAAATAAAAGAAAGGATCACACACTTAAGAATTAAAGGGAAAGAAAAAAATGGTTAAGAAACCTCACGTGTTTTGATGATTAAATCATCTTTAAAGTTAGATATATGGAACAAAATCCTCAGCTAGTGCAAATTGTTTACTTTTTAAGAATATTTTTGTTAATAGGATTGTCCAGTAATAATTACATCAAAACCACATCTTCCCTGTGCTCAGATAATGCTATGGGTTTCCATCACAGAAACACATTCAAAACTGGCTTCTGCTCCAAGGAAGTCAATAGAACTAGCACAGTTGATATCAGTTACTGAGAATCTTCCCCATCTGCTGCACTGCCATCCAGGAACAGAAAGTATTTCACGGAAAAGTAAAGTTTGATATGCAACTTCGCTAACTGTTCATCATAACTCAGGATCTACCAACCATGCCATTAGCACAATTCTGATAGTATTTCAGGTAGTCAAAATAATTAATACTCAGTATCACAGTACTTTTTCTTTTTTGAAGGGTGGGGGTTGATTTTTTTTTTTTTTTTTTTAGAGGACTTTCTACGTAACACAGGATAAAAATGCAGCTACTGATAAAACGCTGCACTGGACGGCTTCCTGTAAGCTTGAAATCCCCTTTTTTCTCATATGAATCCCACTCCCAACATGATCATAGGCAGACATGGTATAATCTGAAAATCAATCATTTGAATTTGCGGTTTTGTGGAGTGACTCCTAAAACTCAGAGTTCAAGCAGCACAAGCTTTAACTGACTGATGGGTTACCTTTGACTCCCTTTCCTCTATTTTATTTTTATTTCCAGTTACAGTGGTGTTGTTTGCAGCTCTGAGGCGGCAGCGAAAGAAAGAACCTTTGATTATTTCCAAAGAGGACATCAGAGACAACATTGTCAGTTACAATGATGAAGGTGGTGGAGAAGAAGATACCCAAGCTTTTGATATTGGTACATTGAGAAACCCTGAAGCCATAGAAGACAATAAATTACGCAGAGACATCGTGCCAGAAACACTTTTTATGCCACGCCGGACTGCAGCAGTACGAGATAACACTGATGTCAGAGATTTCATTAACCAAAGGTTAAAGGAAAATGATATAGACCCCACTGCACCCCCATATGACTCTTTAGCAACCTACGCATATGAAGGTAATGGCTCCGTTGCAGAGTCCCTCAGCTCCTTGGAGTCGGTGACTACGGATGGAGATCAAGACTATGATTATCTCAGTGACTGGGGGCCTCGGTTTAAAAAATTGGCTGATATGTACGGCGCTGTGGACAGTGACAAAGACTCTTAATATGTTGCCTTTTTCATTTCCAGAAACAGCATTGAGATACGTGAAGTGGTTATTTCTTTCTATATATCCACAGCTCTGTGAAAGGATTCTCTATTCTACCAGTTCTAATTGTCTAATGACTGCAGTCTGTGTGGATCAAATGTCAGAAAACTTTTTTCTAGTATAATTTTATGAGCTTCCAAGAGGCAAGATTTTTATTTTTGAGTTCACCTTATTTACCAAGCCAGTCATACAGGCACAGAATAAGCAGAGGGAAATGGCAATTGGAGGAGAGCAATATTTTTACTTGTTCTGCTTATATTGTAAATTAGAGTATATTACTGTTCCATCTCACTTAACCTTTTTACTGTATTCAGATTATACAGTTCAGATGACTGCTCTGTCGATTGTGTATTGCACATCCTAATGTAATGAGGTATTACAATTTAACCTAAATATTATAGTCAAAAGTAACACTGATGGAATGAAGGTTTATTATACAACTAGAGTCAGCTGAAAAGACTATAAGGACAAGATGAGAGTCAATCTTATTCATGAATTTAAAAAGGTCTAATGGCCATTTAAATATAAGCATTTTCTTTGAACTTGCCATTGCCCTCGAGCATAAAACCACAATAACACATTGCATATAATTCTCTGTAGACCACTGTGTGTATATTCTTTTGACCTAGCATTCATAGGGAAATGCTATATGATCCACAGTGTGTGAAATCTATACCTCGAAGGGCAGTATTCCTAGGGACTAGTCCAGTGCTAACACCATCTCTGTGACACTGTGCAAGTCATCTAATCACTTGGGGCTAGATTGTGACTTGGAGTAAGCCTTCACAAGGAACAGAATGTAGCTGTGCTGTATCCTATACTAGGCACAGACTATTTCCCCCTGTACACCTGTGGTGGCCAGCAAGTTAGTGAGATGGAGTCAGACTCCAGTCATTCCTCTGCTTACCCATATGTGTAGGAAGTGAATGACAGCCCTAAGGAGACTGCCACCCTCAGGCTTTGCAAGTACAAAGAAGTAAAGAGGTACCCTGCATCCTTAAGTTCATATACAATTTGATTTGCTGATTCCATTTTTTGACGTCAGTAAATTGGAAGGATACTGCTTGTGTCACAGGGATGTTGCAAGGATTAGATGGATACAGTTTCAAACCTTCTTTGAAGATGGAAAGATCGAAAATATTTTCACAGTAAGTCACTGCTAATCATTTTTGTAACTACAAGCCCTGAATGCGGAAATAAATAGAAATCATTCAGCATTCCAGTGGTGAGAACAAGAAGGGTTTAGTACACTCTCCTTGCTATGTGTGTCAACCAGTGTTCAAGATTTCAGGAGAGAGCATTTGAAACAGATGGTTTCTTCATTTTATGTACCAAGCCAAGAGAAGCCATTTCTTGTTCAAGGGAAAACAATGATGCTATAGTACTTGGTACAGGCTGATATCTCCCCTTTACAATTCAAGTGCATGATGCAAAAGTAATCAACAAAGTATTCTTTCTTTTAGGATGTCAAGGGAAATATGTAACCAATACTTTTCTAATTCAGTTACCTGAATTACTCTATCAAAGGACCATATTACCACTTTAACAAAACAAGTTATTTTTAACATATGAAAAAAAACCCTGAAGTTTCTCTTTATATATTCAATTGTATCTTAAGGTTTAAATTCCACTCAATAGGGTTTTTTTTTTCTTTCCTTGAAACCATAAATAACCATAAATAAATAAACCATAAATAACTCAGTTTGAACAAAAACCAAAAACTTATTCGTTTATTCAACAATACAAAGACCAGACCGAACTTAAAAGTCAGCAAATTAAAAGGGACAAAGGGAAACAAATACCATATAATCTGTGGGACTCATTGCTTCAGGAATGTTAATTATAGGTTTAATGAGATTCCAAAAAGAATTAGACATAAGTATATTTTTTTTGGATAAAATATCAAGGAAATAAAGTAAAAAGATATCAGCCTTGGTACATCAAACTGAATACCAACTTGGCTTAGAAGGAAATCTCCTCCCAGTTCAATGTGATTACACAACTGAGAGTTTGAAGCCAAATTTCTACAAATACCCAGGGTCCTGACAATGTCGACAGATGCTTAATGGAATATTCAAACATGCATAAGGCTGAGAAGATCAAAGGCACCTTTATTTCAGATGTCAAAGGAACTTGATATCAAGGAGTTATGTACTTAAATATCTTTGAAGATCTGGACCTTACTGCCTAATGCAACAATCAGAGTTAGAGGACTAGACATTTTGAAAATCCCATTAAGCACATCTTCTCTTTAACCACCTAAATTCCACTAGAAATCAGGCTTGTTATGCTTTCCCTTAACTAATGTTACATTAGCCATTATTTGGGGCAAAATGACAAGTTAGATGCATCACTGGCCTGTTCTGGTAAAATACATTACTTATGTTCTTATAGGCTAAAGCATTAGGTCTGAATTAGTGATATGTAGTAGCAGTTCAGGCTACAATTTTGATTTTTATTGACAGATAGTTTTATCTTGTCGGTAAAATGACATAGTAACTAGAGAATGGGCCATTCATGCTTGTATGAACAGATATAAAACTGTGTCATTTACCGATACCAAAATTATAGTGACAAACTGGGTATGTCTACATGCGCAATTAATGTAAAATAATAAACTATGGAGTTTATTGCTCCTGCATGTGCCATTTGAACATATGCCTGGGACCGTAGCATATTGAGTCAGCTGGAAGGGGGCTCAGGGATTAGCCCGTTAGTCCAGGATTTCTCCCTCCCTGGCTCAATGTGCTGCAAAGGGACTGGCTGGGGCATGAGGGTGCTCCAGTGCAGGGATAGCTGGCAGACAGCCTAATCAGTGTCTACACATGCACTTCTATGGAGTAAAAAACTTGACAGCAGGATAGTACCTGTAAATACTTGTATTTACAGGTACTATCCTGCTGCAGGATTAATTACTCAAGCCTAATTGCCCTGCACATGTAGACACCAAGACATTTACTGTGGAGCTAATTAGTCAACCCCACACTATATGTTTCATGTAGATGGGCCCACTGAGTAGCAAATACATTCATCTAAGAAATTCTCCTGAGGCAGGTGCGTACATACTCACACCTTTTTCTTTTTCCATTCAGTTTATCAGCAATGATTTTTTTCTCAAATGAGATGTACGTAGCATCTCATCTAGCAAAAGGTGTCAAATTCAGCCTTTTCTTTTTCCTTCACAGCTTGGGTTGGCAACTTATGGCCCACAGGCCATATTCAGCCTGTGAAACCTTTGGACCTGGCCCATGGACATGGAGCTTTGGTGGTGGGTGTTGCCTTCTTTGGGCACACTCTCTGTGCCACAGTATGGAGGAGTGCTGGCCACAGGCACTTTCCCCATGCTGCTGGCAAAATAAATGGTGATGGCAGCATCCTAGCACCTGCCCACCTCTGACCATATCTTGACTCATTCTGGCCCACAGCCAGAAAAGGTTACCTATGGGTGTCCTGGTACCACATTATCCTTTATCTCCTGTACTACAAAGTGCAATTAAAGAATACCAGTTCTGAACAACAAATATTTCAAGTGCCATATTACAATAAAGAAAATTTGCAGTAGTATTTGCATTTCAGCTTGTACTATTAGTGGATGAAAGGACTATGCCAAACTAACTCATGAGCAGGGAAAGGCAGTTAGCAGTGTTAGTCTAAAGTAAGGTAGAAGGCAGAGTAGAGATACACTTTATAGATTAACTTAATCAGAGATGCATAAGCTTTCATGAGCAAGAGCAAAAGCAACAGCTCACTTTGTGCTATCAAATTTATGCACCTCTGATTCAATGGCCATGTCCAGATGAGCACGGCCATGCAGTATGTGACCGTGCAGACATATCTGCAGTGCCACATACCACACGTTCAGTTGTTCTCCATGCTGCAAGGGAGCAGCACGGAGGGGTTTTTTTGACCTGTGGAAAAAGTGAAGTAGCACATGGGGCAGCAAAATGTGCTGCCCAAAGCTGGAGCCTGGCCAGCTGGAGCCACACGCCACTACTGGCCAGGCTTCGCGCGGCAGGATTGCAGCTGTTACAGCCCGAGGAGGCCCCCAGGACCACAGGTAAGGCTGCTGGGGCCAGCCCAGTGCCAGCCCCAGTCTCCCCTACCCCACCTGGGGTAACTTGCCATGCGCCAGAGTGCATGTTGCACAGGCATTCCTCATGGACAAATGTCCCCAGGGAACCAAACATTCACACATGTCTGTGTGCAGCCATGTAGTCTATAAGCTGCATCTCTGCCACATCTTTTACCTTAATTCAGAGACTAGAATGCTAAAATTGTCATTTGTAGACAAATGAGTGTCAGATTACAGCCTGCAAGCTGGGTTTCTAGGCTGTGTCAAGATAATGGAATGCTGCCCCAATCAAACACGTATCTTTTCAAGTGAAAGGAGACTTTGAAATAATACTAGATTCAGCTGAATGATTTGGTTTGGGTAGTGATAAACTGGATGATTAACAACAGGAAAGCTATTGAAAGATATAGAGTAGTTTTGTAAGTTTAGGGTGAAGAGGAACTATGCGGTTGTCTACACAGGCAAGTTTTCTAGCATAGCTATAGCAGAATTATTATTTTGTGATGGTTACTTCAGTATTATTCTCTCCGTGGGTACTTCATTCTAGAATAAAAGGGATTATATTCCAAACTGGGGCAATTCTTTAGAAATAAACTGTCAACCTGGGGAGTTGCACCAAAATAGCTTCTGCAGAATCATTATTCTTCTACAGCTATTCAGAGAAATTTCTCTCTCTAGATAAGATGACTCAAGGCAGGATCACGAAGGAACTCAGTGTAGGGGAGTCCCAGTGTCTACTTCAAGCCCCACTAACTCCATTACAGGAGGGGAGTTCTAGTCCCACATCTAACATTAATTAATATGCTGTCTGATTATGAAGAAATCATATCTCTCTGAATTTCATCTTCCATTGTTGTAAACCAGGATGAAATGTAAAACTCCCACTTTGTAAAGCACTTGGAGATCTGCAGATTTTAAGGCAATACATCAACCCCCAAAGTAACATTTTCTAAATTATTCCTAGGAGATAGGATAAACATGCCCATTTTACATCTAATTTAGTATAATTTCTTACTTGATTCTATGTATTTTGTATTTCTTAAATATGGAAAAAAATTAAAAGGTATGTTGACATCTCCTAATTTTTCAAGTAAAAAGGTGCACCTTAAGGCACAACATTAGCATCTATAATACTATTGCAGAAAAAAAATGAATTGGATCTTTATAGCTTCCATGTTGGTAGCTAATATTGAACAATATGGCAACATTAGATATGGAAATCTGTATGTGTTGGTGTGTCTCTGTGAGAGAAGGGGAGCAAATAATGAGCATTTAAAAATAGGCACATTCTAAATGAGAAACCTCAATGTTCACTGGGGACAACAATGGTCAGTTGGTTCCTTGTGGCCTGCTCTAATACTTCCTGAGTTCCTCCTGAAGCCAATTTTCATGAGCAAGACTGAGCCTCCTCACAATCTTGTTCTTGCAAAATAAGATTCAGTGAAAAGCTCTAGGAAGCAAAGGTCCCACAGCTCAATAATATAAACTGCTGCAAGTCAGCACTGTAAGTTTTTATTTTTATTAGTATGTTTTACTTTTATATATTAGTTCCATCTTGATGATGTCTGATCTGGATGCTACCCTTTCAGCAGATGATCCAAAGTCCCTGTGGCCTACCATACAACACTGTATGGTAGGCCACTGTATGGTTTGTTTTTTTTAAATCAAATAATGAGACCCAACTAATTAACAGTTGGGATGAGTGCAAACTGTTTCACAGATTGTGAAATGCAGTTCTCCTTTTAGCCCTTTACAAATTGTGGTGCCACAGCTTCCTCCAGTGAAAGCCAAGCCCACACAGCCTTTTAGTATTTGAAAAGAATGATTTTTCTAAAAGAGGTTTGTATATATAAACAAGTGAGGCAAAACCGTAATTAAAGTCTACAGCTTCATGAGTTGTTCTATTAGAAGGGACATACAGTAGCTGGCTCACATGTAAAAATTGATGAAGCAAAGTATCTTGTGTATTTTAATGCCCTTGATTTATGGTCCCTCCCTGGCAGTTTAATTTAGGCACAGCTGAAACAATGTTGAACTTGTTCATCAGTTTGCAATACCAAACTTACAGTCCAATCTGACATCCTTTGCACATCCAATACTTCCTTTGGTTATTCAGGAAATCTAGCACTGGATATTTAAGGTGCACATTAGGGACTTGATTTCTTTGTAAAGAAGTCGAGGGTAGGGAGTTGCTGGGAGGGGAGCAGGGAAAATGGTTATATTGGGAGACATATTGTGTAATCCGTCATATGCTAGGCAGGACCATGGCATTTAAAGCAGCAGGACCATCATATTATGCATAGAGTTGTTAGATTTCATATGAGCTCTTATTGTAGTTGCTGTTTCTTTTGTGTGCGTTTATTTAAAACACGGGCCACAAACTTCAATTTCTCCCTCAGTGGGGTTGATCTAATAAGGCATAAGCCCAGCATATAGGAAAAACCTTTCCACTCCATTGGGCTCTTGTCCTTTACTACAAGACTGCACTATCGATGTAAATACATCCGGAAACACTTTCTATAAGCTTTTAGTTTTCTATGATCTATTAGGTTAGTGTTTATTAAAGAAACAAATGTATAGAATTATTAGGCATTCAGGTGAACACAACAAAGAAACAAAACAGAAAACATTAAATTGTTATGGATTTTGACAAACAAAGAATTCTTCAACACTTCTGTACTGTTTTATTTCTGTGATGACTTTCATTGCTTTGAAAATTAAACTTTAAAGAGAAAAAAAGGCCTTATAATAAATGCTATGTGCATCTTAACTGTGCTACTGAGCTAAATCAATCTGGTAAACTCCTATTGTGATTTGTGATTTTTAAACCCCTAAAATAAATGCTTTTTGGTATTGATTTTTTTAATTAAAAATATTTCCAAGCATAAATTGAAACTGATGACACCACTTGGGAAGATATACTAGCTGGTGTGCTCTAGTCATGCAGTCGCTCTCAAAATCACTCCCTGGTTCAGCAGTGGGACCAG